AGGACAGAGAAGAACTGCTCCATAGAATTTCCTAGGCTGCAATCTGTCTGAGAGCAGATCACCAGGTCTTTTCTCCAGCAGAGGGGCTTGTGGGTTCAAACCACTGACCTGTGAGCACTTAACCACTGTGCCACCAGGGCTCCTTATAGTAATACACAGCATCTACTTATTTTCTAGTCCAGGTATCCTAAGTTAATAAGGTGAGATAATAGAATAAGATCATTGAGGAAATGAATTATACTTTTATACTAGAAATTTAGTGTAAAAATATTTTCTTTCAAACTCAGCCCTAGTTGTTATTAACAACAATAGCAATAACAGTAGTATTAATAACAATAGTGGTGATGGTGGTGGTAATAGTAGTAGTAATGGTAGTAAGGTAGTAGCAGTGGTACTATTAATGGTAATAATAATTACTAACCACCATTTATGCAGCACTTACTGAGTATTATGCACTATTCTAAGCATTATAAATATATTAACTTCTTTAATCCTCACAGCACTCTTATAAGGTAGATGAACTATTATTTGTACCTCCATTTCACGGATATTTTCAACAATATCTCTTGTTATTTTTGTTGTTGTTAATAACAACTAGAGCTATCTTTGAAAGAAAAATATTTTGAGTCATAAGGAGACAAGGAGAGGAAAAGCAGCCTGCCCAAGGTCATACAGCTGGATAGCAACAGACCCAGGATTCAAACCCAGAGAGTCCATCTCCAAAGTCTGACCTCTTAACATCCATCATTGCAAAGAATGGGAATTCCAGGACACTTAGCTGTGCTCATGAGAAACCTGTACATATATCAAGAGGCAGTCGTTCGAACAGAACAAGGAAATACTGCGTGGTTTAAAGTCAGGAAAGGTATGTGTCAGGGTTGTATCTTTTCACCACACTTATTCAGTCTGTATGCTGAGCAAATAATCTGAGAAGCTGGCCTGTATCAAGAAGAATGCAGCATCAGGATTGGAGGAAGACTTATTAACAACCTGTGATATGCAGATGATACAACCGTGCTTGCTGAAAGTGAAGAAGACTTGAAGCACTTACTGATAAAGATCAAAGACTACAGCCTTCAGTATGGATTATACCTCAACAGAAAGAAAACAAAAATCGTCACAACTGGACCAATAAGCAACATCATGATAAACAGAGAAAAGACTGAAGTTGTCAAGGATTTAATTTTACTTGGATCCACAATCAACACCCTTGGAAGCAGCAGTCAAGAAATCAAAAGACGCACTGCATTGGGCAAATCTGCTGCAAAAGACCTCTTTAAAGTGTTCTAAAGCAAAGATGTCACCTTGAGGACTAAGTCGCGCCTGACCCAAGCCATGGTATTTTTGATCACGTGATATGCATGCGAAAGCTGGACAATGAATAAGGAAGACCGAAGAAGAATTAACACCTTTGAATCGTGGTTTGGTGAAGAATATTGAATATACCATGGACTGCCAAAAGACCCAACAAATCTGTCTTGGAAGGAGTACAACCAGAATGCTCCTTAGAAGCAAGGATGGCGAGACTACATCTCACATACTTTGGACATGTTATCAGGAGGGATCAGTCTCTGGAGAAGGACATCATGCTTGGTAAAGTAGAAGGTCAGCGTAAAAGAGGAAGACCCTCAATGAGATGGACTGACACAGTGGCTGCAACAAGGGGCTCAAAGCCTAACAATGATCATGAGGATCGCACAGGACCAGGCAGGGTTTTGTTCTGTTGTACAGAGGGTCGCTATGAGTTGGAACCAACTCAATGGCACCTAACAACAACAACATACTTTAAAAAAAAAAAAAAAAAAAAAGTTGCCATCAAATCGATTCCACCTCATAGCAACCCTATAGGACAGAGTGGAACTGCCCCACAGGATTTCCAAGGAGTGGCTGGTGGATTTGAACTGCTGACCTTTTGGTTAGCAGCTGAGCTGTTAATCACCACTCCACAGCACCAAAGCAATGAGTCTGGTTTTGTTTTTGTTTTTGTTTTTTGGTTTATACTTACCCCCCTTGCTTAGGAAGGTCTTCTAGAAAACGAATATGGAAGGAAGTTAGTCACTCCCACACCTGCTCGTAGTCAGTTAATTCTTGGAGTTTGCTATTTACTTTAGGAGTCTCCCCAAACCCACATTAAGACATGCAGCCTGCTCCTACAGCTATAAAAAGTCACTGGAAGTGTTATCAAGCAACACAATCTGTTCCACATGTCAGTGACCATAGCAAGCCTAACTCCACTGGGGCTTTCACCTTTGCCAGCTATGGCAGAAGCTGGGGGTAGGGTGGGGTGAGAGCTTCGTTCCCAGGCCACATTTCCTGCCCAGTAACACAGTCCTCAAATAACCAAGGCTACAGGCTGAGAAATTCCTCACTAACAAGTTATCTCTCCCGAAGCTTGTTCTTTGAGCCCTTATTAAGAATGAACATTTTCTCGCCAATCCACAACTCCAGGAAGGCCAAGGACTGAAGAGGGACTAGCAGCAAAGTTTGTTTATTAACCTGCTGCACCCAAAGGAACATTTTTCTGAAAGGATGAAATTCCTGACTACACAAAACGAAGAAGAAGAAAAAAAAGGCTTTGGGAAATTTAATCACCAACCGAACAAAAGTGGAAAACAAAGCCCTACCAATGAGGATGTTGCCGAAAGGCAATGCGGCCCCAAAAGGAGATGCAATTGTCTCGAGATAACATTCCCCGCGGGAATTTAGCTCGCACTAAGTACTACCTTATTGCTATATTAGCCTAGGAATCTTTGTTCACAGGGCAACTGCGCGCAAAACCATCTGTCACAGCTCCTGAGTTCCCCTGGTTTGCAGACGCAGCATTTACATTTCAAGAGGAATCTCCGGGAAGGAAGGGGTGGCGGTCTTTATTCTTCCCTGGAGCAAGTATCTTTTTATATAGCCTGGGAGGGGAGGCTCTCCTTTCCGAGAAACCGAACTCTGCAATTGAAATGGGATAGGCCGCTTTAATAATGCACTTGCAGCGAGTCACGGCTGCCTAGTCCTAAAGCCACGCTCGCCTCATTACGATTTTCACATTTTTTAATTGGTAGAAATGGTAACGTATAAAGAATAATACCCAACTGACTACAGGGCCTAATCGGGTGCTACTTTCTTAAGGAATCTCTTCCATTTTTTTTTTTAAACCTGTGGAAGCAGGACAAATCTCCTATTTGTACTGCATAATATTTAACCTGAAATATTGTTGTTATTGTTGTTGTTAGATGCCTGAAATATACCACCACTTAAAAGCAGACTACAAACTTCTGGGCTGAAGGAAATGTTTTATATCTTGATCTGGGTGCGGGCTACGGTAGGATACACATATGTCAAAATTGGAGGTGTACACTCAAGATTTGTGCACTTTCTTGTATGTAACACATCAGAATACATTTTTTTCAAGCAAGCTGTGCCAAGGTTACTCATAACTAAGAACATTTGGAATAAATCACTTGCTATCAAGAATATGAAGATTGCTCTGCTGGTTTATTCTCCCCTCCCACAACCCCACCTCCAAAATCTACCCTGAGAATTCTTAAGTTACCAAATCTGAAAAATACACTTATCCCACTCTTCACGAAACCAGTGACCACAAATGTCTCCCGTGTACCCTGTGAGTTCAAGTATGCAGCGCAGAGAGAGCACCTGTCACACCCCAAACTGTGCCAGCCACATATCAAAAATAAAGAGCAAGGTCTTTCTCATCTGGTCATGAGCTATCAAATTATGAGAGACAGGCTTGGGGCTTTTAGCAATAAAGCCTCGAGTTAATACTTTTGTTTCTTTAGCCCTATTTTTAAATAGATGTTTCCAAGCTCTGAGTAACACCCTGCTTGCAGGAAGCTGGTTAACCCTGTAGGGTGCAGGCCTCTGGCCCAGCATTAAGGGTGATTTCCTCGGGCTGCTCAGCAGGTTTAAATCTGTAGCATCCTCGCGCCGTTAGTGAGATCTGTGGTGCCACAGGGGGATGTCACTAAGTGACAGTCTGAGTACTAAAAGGCTTCCTCAATACTCGGTCAGGGCTTTGCCGTGCATTTCCTCCTTTGAACTCACAAGCAAGGAGAGTCTGCCTGTCACTGGGAGAAGGGGTCAAATTCACCTTCCACTAAGACTCAACAAAGGTCGCCCAGCGAAGCAGAGGTTCCTTGCACCGTAATAGAGGATCACCTTTCGCCCCCACGCCCTCCAAGCGTCCTAACCCCCGCAGACACGTCATGTCGGGACTGCAGGGCCAGCAAGTTGCTTGTACAGATAGGCATCGTGAATCAGGATCACCCAGCCAGAGCTTCCTGGACTGAGCCGAGAGCTCCAGTGATTTCCCTGGCCTGCCACCGAGTCATTTAAGAAATGAAATATGTCAGAGGGGCCGGGTACCACGGAGCCCACCCCGCCGCCTCCGGGATGGAGGAAGGACTGTCAATGGCTGGGCAGCGTCTATGCGGATCGCGCGATTGCAGGTGGGTCTTGCAAGCTCCCCCAGCCGTGTGCTGTGCCAGCCACACACCTGACTTGGTGCCAGGAATACGGCAAGAGGCTCCGGTGGATATGCGCTTCCGTGGAGACTCTGCCAACTCTGCTCCGGAAGAGTGGGGAGGGGGGCCAAGAGGTGGAATGTGGGACCGGGAGGACATCCCAAAATGCGGCGCCGGCAAGGACTCTGCGCCTCTGTTCTCACTGCGCTTCCTTTGGCAGCTCCTGGAAGCCACTGGAGCTGAGATTTGCACAGTCGGCGGGCAGGAGAGACGGAGGTGCAGGGAACCGCTTCCTGTCCTCATGCGCACTGCTAGACTGCAACACCCCCCCATTTGCGCCCACCTTCGACAGGGACTCCAATGCCAAACTGTCAGGGGACTGCAGCTCGCCCGAGGCCCTGGCGGGTGACCCCGAGCAACTGGCAAAAGAAACTGGGGGGAGGCGCGGCTGGACCTTCAGTCCGAGCGTGCGCGGGTCGGTGGGTCGGGGTGCCCCTGGAAGGCCGCCCGCCAGGCGCGGTCACCTACCTCGATCCACTTCTGTGCCTCGGAGAAGGCAGGCTCAGGGGGCGGCTCGGGCTGCAAGGGCTGAAGAGCTTCCAGACCGAGGGCGGGACAAGCCATTTGCGAATCCCCGAGTCCGCTCAAGCGCTGGGCCACCGGGATGAGGACAGCCGCCGCCGCTGCCGCCGCAGGAGCGCGCTCCCCGCCCCTTCCCGCCCGGCCGCTTTCCCCTCCCCTGGCCGCCCCTCCCCCGCCCAGCGCAGGTCCGCGAGGAGAGCCGCGCGCAATGCTGGAGGGCGTCGCAGCAGCTGTTCTCAGCGTAGCCTGGGCTCGGCCGCGCAGTGCGTCCCCCCGCGGGAGCTAGCGGGGAGGCGCCGGGAGCTCCCTCTCCTCCCCACCTTCTCTGGCCGCTCCGCCTCCGAGGTGGGGAGCTCATCTACTGGCTAAAAATAACCAGGAGTGAGCGCTGGGTGTCTCACTCCCTGTCCACACCCGGCCCAGGAGAGGGACTCGGCCTGCCACCCCGCACGTTCCCGCTCCAGGCCGGCTACAAAAGGGCCGGTGTATCGGGCCGCATTTGGGAAGCGCGCGCCGAGAAGGGCGCGCACGTCCTGGGAGAGCAGGCGATATGGCCGCTGGCCGGGACGCGCAGGCAGCGGCCGAGCCGCACCTGCTGCTCCTCGCGGCCTAAGGAGTAGGGGCAAGAAGAGCAGCGCCAGGAAGCCATCTGATCTTCTGTAACGAAAAAGAAAGAAAGAAGAGAAAAACGTTTTATTTTTCCCTCTAAGCAAGCATCTGTGTTCCGGTCTGTTGGTTCATGCAACAAATTTTTATTGTGCAGCTACTATGCGCCAGGCACTGAGCTAGGCACTCCCAACCCGTAGATGAGAAAAGAAAAAGCAAAACATCGAAGCCCTTATCCTCAAGATATTTGCATTCTAGAGGGAGTGGGTGCCTGACCGACTTGTTAGGTGCCACGGAGTCTGTTCGGACTCATAGGACCCTATGTACGGACACTATGAACAACAAAACGAAACACTGCCAGGTCCTGTGCCATCCTCACAATGGCTATGTGTGCGTCCATTGTTGCAATCCATCTCATTGAGTGCCTTCCTCTTTTTTGCTGACCTGCTACTTTACCAAGCATAATGTCCTTCTCCCAGGACTGGTCCCTCCTGATAACATGTCCAAAATACGTAAGGGGAAGTCTGGCCATCCTCCCTTCTAAAGGAGCGTTCTGGCTGTACTTCTTCCAAGACGTATTTGTTCGTCCTTCTGGCAGTCAATGGTGTATTAAATATCCTTTGCCAACACCGTAATTCAAAGGCATCAATTCTTTGGTCTTCTTTATTCATTGTCCAGCTGCCACATGCACATGGAGGCAATTGAAAATACCATAGCTTGGGCAAGGCGCACCTTAGGCCTCAAGGTCTTTGCTTTTCAACACTTAAAAGAAATCTGCCGCAGGTTTGCTCAATGCAATATGTCATTTGATTTCTTGACTGCTCTTCCATGGATTGTGGTTCCAAGTAAAATGAAATCCTTGTCAACTTCAGTATTCTTTCCATTCATGGTGAAGTTGCTTATTGGTCCAGTTGTGAGAATTTTTGTTTTCTTTATATTGAGGGGTAATCCATACTGAAGGCCATGGTCTTTGATCTTCATCAGTAAGTGCTTCATCTTCTTCACTTACAGCAAGCAAGGTTGTGTCATTCGTATAGCTCAGGTTGTTAATGAGTCTTCCTCCAATTCTGATGCTGTGTTCTTCTTCACATAGTCTGGTTTATCAGATTATTTGCTCAGCATACAGATTGAATAAGTGTGGTGAAAGGACACAACCCTGACACATACCTTTCCTGACTTAAAACCACACAGTATCCCCTTGTTCTGCTTGAACGACTGCCTCTTGATCTATGTACAGGTTCCTCATGAGCACAGTTAAGTGCCCTGGAATTCCCATATTCCCGATATTAACCATAGTTTGTTATGAGCTACACAGTTGAATGCCTTTGCATAGTCAATAAGGCACAATTAAACATCTTCCTCATATTCTCTACTTTCACCCAAGAGCCATCTTACATCAGCAGTGATATCCCTGCTTCCACATCCTCTTCTGACTCTGGCTTGTATTTCTGGTAGTTCCCTGTCAATGTACTGCTGCAACCATTTTTAATTACTTCAGCAAAATTTTACTTGTGTGTGAGAGTAATGATATCATTTGAGAATTTCTGCATTCTGTGGGATCACCTTTCCTTGGAAGGGGCACAAGTATGTTGGCCAGGTGGCTGTCTTCCAAATTTCTTGGCATAGACAAATGAGTGCTTCCAGCATTGCATCTGTTTGTTGAAACATCTCAGTTGGTATTTCGTCAATTCCTGGAGTCTTGGTTTTCACCAATGCCTTCAGTGTAGCTTGGACTTCTTCCTTCAATACCATCCATTCTTGACTATATGCTATCTCCTAAACACATAAAACAAGAGGAAATAATTGAGGAGAGTGATAAATGTTAAGATAAAAGAGATGTGACCTGGGAAGAGAGTTATTATTGTTTTTAGATGCCATGGAGTGGATTTTGACTCATGGCGAGTTCATGTGTTACAGAGTAGAACTGCCACATGGGGTTTTCTAGGCTTTAGGAGAACAGATCGCCAGACCTTTCTCCCACTGAGCAAGTGGGTGGGTTTGAACTGACAACCTTTAGGTGAGAGCTTAACCTTTGCACCACCAGGGTTCCTATGGGAAGAGAGAGCACAGGCTATTTTCTGATTGCCTATCCACCCTTCTCCACCTGCTAGGCTGACCTGTATGTACTGGTTTCTTTAATGGGAGGGAATGGCAGGAGGAGAGATAAGTGGGGTGTTTTATACCTCCCATCCCTGCAAGAGTCTAGGGAGTTGGCTGCACCTCTCCTCTGAAGCTGCAGCTCTGGCTGGAGCCCTCTCCTACAGCTACTCTCCTTGGATTCCCTGAAGGTAACCCCTTTCTCCTCTTGCCCACGCAGGCCTAGCCTTGGTCAGGTTTCCCCTTTCTGACCTCCACCTCATAGAAATCAGCTTTGGGCTGATCCTGGTCATTATTCCTTCTGAAGTTAGACAGGTTCTGACGATATTACTACTCCTGCCATTTCACAGGGACAAAGAATTTGCCCTTTAGGAGCTAATAATTTCGTTGATGAAATGACATTTTTATTTTTAAAATAATGTCATTTATCCAACATAAAAATAATGTATGTTCATTAGAGAAAATTTGAAAAACATAATTAAGAAGACAAATCCTGAAGAAACCCCACAATTTAAAGATCATCACTATTTTGGGGGTATGAAGTAACATTTTGACTGGAAAAAATAACCATAAGACAAGCTACAATATGATAAATTCCAAGTGAGGGGTATAGATAATGTACTCAGTAAGTTTTGGAGTTTTTTCCTTTTTTTTTTTTTTTTTGTAGTAGCTTTATATAAGACATAATTCACATATCAGCCCTGTGGCGCAGTGGTTAAGAGCTACAATTGCTAACCAAAAGGTTGACAGTTCGAATCCACCAGCAGCTCCTTGGAAACCCTATAGGGCAGTTCTACTCTGTCAGAAAGGGTCACTATGAGTATCTGAATCACTCGAAGGCAATAGGGTTTTTTTTTGTTTGTTTTACAATCCACTTATCTAGAGTATAAAATTCAAAGATTTTAGTATATTCACAGAGAGGTGCAACCATTACCAGTATCTAATTCCAGAACATTTTCATTACCCCTAAAAGAAACCCCATACCCATTAGCAGTCACCCCCATCCTCCCATGCCCTTTGTCACTAGATGACCACTACTCTACTTTCTGTTTCTCTTGATTTGCCTGTTCTGAACATTTCATATAAATGGAATAATACAGTACGTGACCCTTTGTGACTGGCTTCTTTCACTTAGCATAATGTTTTCAAGGTTCATCCATGTTGTAGCATGTATTAGTACTTCTTTTATTTTTATGGCCAAATAATATTCCATTGTACAGATATACCACATTTGTTCGTCCATTCATTAGTTGATAGACATTTGGGTTGTTTCTACTTTTTGGCTAGTATGATTAATGGTACTATGAACATTCATTTCTCTTGGGTATCTGCCTAAGGCTGGAATTGCTGAGCCACATGATAACTCCATGTTTTTGAGTAACTCTCAAACTGTTTTCCAAAGTGGCTGCACCATTTTACATTCCCACCAGCAGTGCATAAGGGTACCAATAGCTTCATATTTTTACCAATGTTCGTTATCGCCCATGTTTTTTTATTATAGTCATCCTAGTGGGTGTAAAGTGGTACGTCACTGTGGTTTTAATTTGCATTTCCCTGATCACTAATGATGTTGAGCATCATTTCATATGCTTGTTGGCCATATGTATCTCTTATTTGGAGAAATATCTATTCAGATCCTTTGCCTGTTTTTTAAATTGGGTTTTTTATCATTGAGTTGTAGGAGTTCTTTATATATTCTAGACAAAGTCCCTTATAAGATAAGTGATTTGCAAATATTGTCTCCCAATCTGTGTGTTGACTTTTCACTTTTGTTGGTATCCTTTGAAGTAAAAAAGTTTTTAATTTTGATGAAGACCAGTTTACCAATTTTTTTTGCTTATGCTTTTGGTTTCGTATTTACAAAAACATTGCCTAATCCAAGGCCACAAAGATTTACGTCCATGTTTTCTTCTAAGAATTTTATGGTTTTAGCTCTTACATTTAGGTCTTTGATCCATTTATAGTCAATTTTTGTAAGATCATATGTTTTGAGGTAAGAGAAACGTAGTGTGTTACTCTAAGTCTTCCAAGAAGCAGACACCAGGATGGGATGAAACCTGCAAGGATTTTATTAGGGAAATGCCTATGAGAAAAAATGGGGGAGGGGAGACAGAAAATGCTGGGAAAGCAGTCATACCACAATTATAAGTCTGACCTACAGTGAAGAAAGACAGGAGGAAGGTTGTATGGAAGCATCCTAGGCTTGCTATTCAGTTCAAAGACGATTCAGCAAGGCCATTGGGAAGTCCTTGGTCCAAAGCCAGGCACCAGAGGGAAATCCAGGATTGGGCCTGCTTTAGTATCTCTGCCACACTCGGTCAGCAGCTGGGAGCAGCCCAGTCGGAAGCATGGCCTCAGGGTAAACATAGTGATAGATTTCCAGAGCACAACTGGGGCCCTTGGTCAGGTAAGCTCCCTGGAGTTAGAAGTCTGAAAGATCCCCTCACTTAGGTTTGAATCCAGCCCTATCACTCATTATGTGACATGAGTAAAAATGTCATTTAACCTTTCTGAGTTTCAGTTTCCTTGCCTGTAAAAATTGTATAATAAGCCTACCTTTTT